CAAGATCATGTTATCTGCATCTCCTGCGCTCCATCAAGCCACTCCTATAATATCTGACAGCACTCAAATTAATGCACGATTCAGATTAACTGTATAGCATGTGTGTAAGACTCCAATACAATTATAAAGTAATTATTTTATCACAAATAAATCTTTCAATGTGTAAAACTGGCTGTGTCTATAGTATTATAGATTACACAACATTTTAATATTATTTTCAAATAAATTTTTACATTATTATTATTTTAAATGATTGTCCCTGGATTAGTAGGGTACTTTTGTAATAGAGTAGCAGTGGCTGGGATAGATTTTAAGTAACAATTCCACTTAAAAAGATGCAATCTAATCCTGTTTACATGAAATAAGCTGCTCCCGAGCAGGTTTAAGCTTTAAACCTTTTTTTGTGTGTGTGTGTGTGTGTGTGTGTGTGTGTGTTTGTGTGTGTCAAAATCACATGCACAGTACATGGTCGATGTCAGGCTTAAAGCATCATGGCTGAGCATTAAAGTCGATAAGTTGACTAGTCGGTGCAACCCCAAATATATACTTATGGCTCTTAAGGCAAATTAAAAGTAACATTTTCATTTGCATCACCAGGTGTTCAGGGCCTCTGTGCAGTTGAGTCACGCTCAGTGAAGATCATTATAGTTCCTCCAGTTCCTGTGGGGGCTCTGGATTCTCCTGTACTCTGCCCTGCTCATAACCTCTGTGCCGACGTCGCCATATGATGACAGAAATCACAATCAGAACCACCAGAATCACCAAACACACTACAACTGGCACAATCCAGTTCTCTACAGATGGAAGGAGGAAGATGGGAAGAGAGCACATGTTTTTGAGAACTTTTTTTTTTTTTTCATTTTTAAACTCAATGCTTAATTTTTTTGTAATGCCTCCTGTTTTACTTACTGTGTTGTTCAGTGTCGTCCAGTTTTTCCGTTGATTGTTTTTCTGATTCTGTAAAGGATGTTGAAAGGTAAGTCACACAGTTTAACATCAGTGTTTATGTTGATGTTCAAATCATGATGAATAAACTTCAGCTGTCCAAATGCTTTAAAAAATAACATTTATAAACATCCACTGAGTTTCTCTCACCTGTGATTGTCACTGTGATCAAGATTTCTCCTTCTGAATCCAGAACTCTGTATGATCCTGCATCACTGGCCAGAAATGCTTTAATAGTCAGGTTCCCATCAGTATCATTCATTCGGTCACTCCAGACCCCGTGGCCTTTCTTCCAAACCTCCTTCCACTCTCCACTAGAGTTTGTCTCTACTTTATCAGCGTTGGCCCACAGAACATGCAACTTTAGCGGCTTGCCTATTTTCACAGTAATCTCATCTGAGGAGAAACAGAAAGACATTAATCATTATTATAATGCTGTCAATCAATCAAGACCATAAACACATATTTAGTATCGGGGAACCAAATGTAATAATTAAAAAAATCACATGCTGATGGTTTGATAAGTTATGACTTTACCATGAATATGAAGTTGGTACGTCCTGATTAGTCGCTCCAGCTCTGTCTGATTATTGTAATAGATTCTCAAAATGTATTTCCCAGCATCACTGAAGATCAGATTCTTGATGACGACGTCACAGTTTCCTTCTTTAAATACTCGTCCACTACATTCTTCATCCTGACAGACATCAGTCTCTCCTGACTCACTGATTAAATCAATGTGAACAATATTATTGGCCTCATGTTCACATGTTAGTGTGACGTTTCCTCCCTTTTTTCCTGACACAGGTTTAGAGGTGTTTCCTGCAAATACAATAAATATTAAATCAATACAAAGTATCAATACCGAACAATACATTTGTTGTTTCTGTCTATTCTCCATAATCAAACTCATCACAAAATATTCTATAGTTATTAATTTATATATTATTATTTTAGTCAGCTGGATTTTCTTTTGCACAGGATATTTCATCACAGTGGAAGTGGATTCATCAGCTGTGAACTGATGGAGGAGTTTCTTTAATATTTAGCATCAGAAATGAATGTAAATATTAAGGATGCTCATTGCTCATCAGAGACATGATCTATTTTGCCTTTGTGCTCTTCATCTAAACACTTAACCTCAGGTTACTTCATTGTCTCTTCATGAAATAAAAGCATTAAATGCTCAATCTCAAGCACTAATGACTAATGAGATCTGGTTGATGAATTAATAGAAAGCAGCAGGTTCAGTCAGAAGTCTAAATGCAACGACCAGAGGTTTACCTTATAAACTACTTAGCTTTAACTCTTTCCTGTTTTTACCAAAAAAGGACAGCAATTGTTTATAATAATGAACACAGAACTAAAATAGTGACTTCCATTGCAGCAACCAGATATTTGTTATAAAAAATGGATTTAAAATATAAACGAGGGCAATAAGAGCGAGCAATATTAGCAGTGGCTCATTTTAACATTTCAAATGTTGATGAAAATAATATAAAGCTGTAGCAGATGTACGAGTGCAGTTGTAATGAATTCCTGAACAATGTTTATTAATAAATGAACTGCATGATAAACCAGTGAATATTTCCATCATCAATCCACAAATGTTAACAAAAGTCTTCACTGAGTGACACAACAGAGAAATAATTCACTAGAATAACTCTAGCTGACGCTGAACACCAAGAATAAATAGAGTTTATAAACATAAATGACACTGACCGCTGTGATAGACGAGACAAAGCAGCAGAAGATTCAAGCATCTGAACCTGATGAGAAACTTTTCACTCATTTCCTCCATGTCTGCAGTTATCTTTCACTAGTTGCATTCACTCGTTTCCCAAAGTCATCTTGAATGTTGGCTTTTCAATACAACTGAAATATTTGAGAGAACATCACTTAAGCCAACTTCATAAATTGATGTTGATTTTCCTAAATTGTGTGTGTGTGTGTGTGTGTGTGTGTTGTTGTTGTTTTTTTTGACTCACCATTACAGTGATTAGCGTACCCTTTGGTTGGGCACTTGGAACTTCATTTATGTTACTATAATTTTTTTCTCATTAATGCAGTAATGCAACATGAGATAAGAGTTCAAGGGAAGTAGAGTAATAAATAGATTACTTTTAGAAGGTGATCTATTTTCCAATCAAATTATTCATGTATTTGTTTGTGTCTATTAATGAACTTTTTTAAGTTTTATTTTTCATAAATACCTTGAGAAACTTTTAAGTGGGTTTAGATAATCCTTAAATAATTTGTGGTAATATGTTCAAGTCACACACAGACTTAAACATTCAGCACGCTAATCACAACAATGGTAACAATTCAATTTCATTTATTTTTAATAATTGTAACAATAACCAGTTTATTTGCTCTTTTAGTTGTGCAACTACTGACACAAGACAGCAAATAAAATTGGCAAATATAATCAACAACTGTAAAACAAGGCAACTGCATAATTTATTCTGCCGCAATGCACTCTGGGAGTCAGTGAGTAGCTATACTAAGTCATGAGTAAACCTAAATGAAAGGATCAAGTACCCCCTACAGTTCTTTTTTAGTTACTAGAACTCTCGTGTAAGTAAACTATAATAACTAAGCATTTGTCAATACAACATACTATTCCTATTTCACTTTACGTTTTTTAAGGCAATCATGCTTATGCATGCTTTTTTTAAGTAAGCCCAACTAATTAGATTTTACAGTGTACTACCTCTGATTAGAATGCTAGTAGAGTATTAGTAGACTGGTAGGGTTAGGGTTGGAATAAGTTGACATGAACTTGCAGAGTTACTTATAGTCAGTAGAATGTCTGTTGGGAGACAATGACAATAAAGAGTTAGACGATATTAAGCCGACAGTCTACTAATCCTCTACTGAGAGTTAGTTGACATGTAGGTGCAACATTACTTATTGTCCACATAATGTTCAAAAGGGACCATCAAAATGAAGTGTTACCCATAACTTAGTTTTAAGTATTTCCTGTGTTGGATTACAAATTTATAAAATGTTATATCTAGGTTCCAATGTAATAGTATATAAACTGAAAAAGTTATGTACATTGTGTTTTACATTTTGAGGTAAAGATGACGACATTCTAAGAAGATCAATTCAGGCAGCCCAGGACATTCTAAGAAGATCAAGTCAGGCAGCCCAGGTGTCTGAGACATTAACCTTTTGTCTTTATGCACTTCCTGACCATTGGGCAGGGTCCCAAGTTAAAGGTGAATGCTAAGCTCAAGGCACAGCTGTGCCTTTGTCTCTATGATAATGTGAAGGTATGGGCGATACTGTCAGGCTGATTGGATTAGCACCATTTGAATGACAGCATAACAGTATGCTGATGAGATCAGGGCTGGAGAAATTCCGGTAACGGGTTGA